CAACCTCCCTATCCGCCCTGCTCTGTTCCTGTACAGGGTAAGGTGCCCCAACCCCCTGATCAGCCCTGCTCTGTGCCTGATAGGGGGGAGCTCCCCAACCCCCTGATCGCCCTGCGGCTCTGTGTGTGATAGGGTGCGGCGCCCCAACCCCCTGATCGGCCCTGCTCTGTGTGTGACAGGGGGAGGTGCCACAAACCCCTGATCAGCCCTGCTCTGTGCCTGATACGGGGGGAGCTCCCCAACCCCCTGATCGCCCTGCGGCTCTGTGTGTGACAGGGGGCGGGGCCACAACCTCCCTATCCCCTCTCTGTTCGTGACAGGGAGAGGCGCCCCAACCCCATGATTAGCCCTGCTCTGTGCCTGATAAGGGGGAGCTCCCCAACCCCCTGATCGCCCTGCGGCTCTGTGTGTGACAGGGTGCAGCGCCCTAACTCCCTGATCGGCCCTGCTCTGTGGGTGATAGAGGGTGGCGCCCCAACCCCCCCCCCACGGGCCTGCTCTGTGTGTGAGGGGGTAGAGCCATAACCTCCCCATCGGGCCTGCTCTGAGTGTGACAGGTGGTGGCGCCCCAACCCCCTGATCCGCCCTGCTCTGTGTGTGAAAGGGGGGCGGTGCCCCAACTCCCCTATCGGACCTACTCTGTGAATGACGGGGGGAGCTCCTCAACCCCCTGATCGGCCCTGCTCTGTGTGTGACAGGGTACGGAGCCCCAACCCCCCTGGTGGGCCCTGCTCTGTGCATGACAGGGGGCAGAGCCCCAACCCCCTGATCTGCCCTGCTCTGAGTGTGACAGGGGGCGGTGCCCCAACTCCCCTATTGGCCCTACTCTGTGAGTGACAGGGGGGAGCTCCTCAACCCCCTGATAGGCCCTGCTCTGTGCGTGACAGGGGGGAGCTCCTCAACCCCCTGATCGGCCCTGCTATGTGTGTGACAGGGGGGAGCTCTTCAACCCCCTGATCGGCCCTGCTCTGTGTGTGACAGGGTACGGAGCCCCAACCCCCCTGATGGGCCCTGCTCTGTGCATGACAGGGGGCAGCGCCCCAACCCCCTGATCGGCCCTGCTCTGTGCATCACAGGGCGTGGCGCCGCAACTTCCCTATCGACCCTGCCTTGAGTGTGACAGGGGGCGGTGCCCCAACCCCCCAATCAGCCGTACCCTGAGCATGACTAGGGGTGGCATCGCAACCTCCCGATCCGCCCTGCTCTATGCATGACAGGGGGCAGCGCCCCAACTCCCCAATCGGCCCTGCTCTGAGCCCGACCAGGGGCTGCACCTAGGGATTGGGCCTGACCTCTGCCACCCGGGAGCAGGCCTAAGCCAGCAGGTCATTATCTACCGAGGGGTCCCAGACTGCGAGAGGGCACAGGACGGGCTGAGGGACCCCTTCTCCCCCCCCCCCCGAGTGCACAAATTTTGTGCACCGGGCCTCTAGTCCTATATAATAAAAGGATAATATGCAAGTCGACCGAACAGTGGAATGGCAGGTCGCCATGACGCACACTGACCACCAGGGCGCAGATGCTCAATGCAGGAGCTACTCCCTGGTGGTCAGCTGCCCACAGGGGGAGCGAGGCTCAGCCAGAAGCCGGGCTCAAGCTTAAGCCTGATAGACATCCCCTGAGGGCTCCCAGACCAGGAGAGGGCACAGTCCGGGTGGAGGGATCACTCCCCAGGTGCACAAATTTCGTGCACCAGGCCTCTAGTAAGAAATATAAGTGAATGGGCCTCCGGTGGATTCTAGCCTCCCATCTTTGGGCCACCCCAGCTGATGCACAGTAAAGCACAGGTGAGTACTTTTAGCCCTCCCAAAATTGCAGATTCATAAGCAAATAATCACTGTTATTGTTTCAACTCACTAATATTTGAGCTTAGTAACTGGAATGCAAACTCAGGACTGAATGCACCTATGAATGAATTTTACCTAAAACAAAATAAACTTTATGTTTTGCTCCCCATGTTGATCCCTAAATTAAGGCAGAGATAAAAGATATACATACTTCTTCCGACAGTGATGTTCTGCTGCAAGGTGCTTATATACAGCTGCAGGGTCAGCTGGGGGGCTGAGCCCAGGAAAGCCTGGATCACTGATGCCCGGCTGAATGCAGATCGGTGAGTGAACATCTTGCCCTCTGCCTGGCCCACTTCCTTCTCAATCTCCTCTGAGAGGCCATTTTTTGGCATTTGTCGCTTCTTGGTGATGCTGACATAAGGCTCTTCAATGTGGCCTGACTGACAATAGATGCATAAGACTTCAAAACACCTGGAAACAAATCAGCAAGTCATGATAATCAGAGGCAGACAGGATTCTCTTTTTTTAGTTACCCTGCTTACACTTAGCCCGATTCTTAAAGCCTTGACTTGGCTACTCTGGACTGCAGCCCCTCCTAGAAAATCATCCACACCAAGGGCCAGTTCTGAGTATGAAGTCCTCTTGAGTCCCTCCAGCAGGCCAACTGGGGCTGACTGAGAACCAAATTGAGAGGTGACATTGAAGCCCACTGAGACAAGCAAACCAAGTAGAGACTAGAAAAATATTCAGTTTGTCTTACTGACATTTATTAGCTGTGCAGTCTTGGGCAAGTAATTTAACCCTTGAGTCATTTCCCTCAATTATAAAGCAGAGATAAAATCTACCTTGCCACACTGTTATGGAGTTAACACAGAATATATGTACACACACACACACACACACACACACACACACACACACACACACACATATATATATACACATATGCACACAGATATCTATATCTATAAATATCTCTCTATTTTTTTTCTTTTCCACATCCAAGAGATGCCCCAAATTTCCTTAGTTAAAGCAGCAGCTATGGTTGAAAGAGTCCTCCCCCCAATCACAGAACAATTTGCCATTTAGCATTTCCCTGGAAGACCACAATTTATTTCCTATCTCTCTGCTCTCATAAGACATTGTGGAACATGACTAAAGTCAATCATGCCTGGGGGCTGACCAGCTTTAGAATTTCAAGCCTACCTGAGGAAGGAGCTGTAACCAGTCACCTTTTTACGCTGACAGAGTACCTGGCTTTTAAAATTGGATTTCCTCTTTAGGTAATGATATGGACACTGAAGGGAGGAAGAGTACTGATGTGTCTGATTTACATTGAAATATACACATACACAAATGGATTGATAGAAAGATGGATAGATGTGTGAAATAAAATGTTAATTATAGAATCTAGGTGTCTAGTACTTGGGTGTTCATCATACAGCTCTTTCACGTTGTCCTCTTTATGTTAAAAAATTTTCCTGTCAGAGAGGAGGAGGGTTTGGGGGCTGGATGAAATAATGTGAAAGGATTAAGAAAAAAAACTATATATCACATACATGCACACAGACAACAATGTAGTGATAGCCAGAGGGAAAGGGGGTGGGGGTAAGTGGAGGTGAGCAAAGGAGGAAGAAATGGGGACAGAAAGAGACTTTGCTTGGGGTGATGAGCTCACAATGCAGTGTTGTTGTTTTTTGTTGTTTTTTGTTTTGTTTTGTTTTTAATTTTTATTTTTTGCTAAAAGTATTACAAAGTGTATTACATATGTGTCCTTTTCCCCCCCCCGCCCTTGACAATCCCCTGTCCTCCCTTATCCCCAGTGTCTTATGTCCATTAGTTATGTTTATATGCATGCATACAAGTCCTTCGGTTGATCTCTTACCCCCCTCCCTCCTGCCCCCCAACCCTCCCTGGTTAAGAAGATATTTTATTGAGTTGTACACTAGAAACTTGTATGGCTTTGTGAACCAATGTCACCCCCATAAATTCAATGAAAACTTTTTTTTCATAATAAAATGCTGGGAAAAAATGGGTTTTTCCTAATAAGAAAAATGCTCATAGTACATTTACCCCCAAACATGCATTTTTATAACAACCTTATAATGCTGACGGAAGTTTTTATGGTTTCACCTGTTTTATTGAATGTTGTTAACTTTGTACTTTCACCTCGAGGCAACTATGGCAAGAAGAATCTATAATAATAAAAGCATAATATGCTAATTAGACCAGACAGCAGAATGTCCTTCCAGACATCCTTCCAGATGTCCTTCTAGACCAGCGGTTCTCAACCTGTGTGTCGCGACCCCTTTGGCAGTCGAACGACCCTTTCACAGGGGTCACCTAAGACCATCCTGCATATCAGATATTTACATTACGATTCATAACAATAGCAACATTACAGTTATGAAGTAGCAACGAAAATAATTTTATGGTTGGGTCACAACATGAGGAACTGTATTTAAAGGGCCAGAAGGTTGAGAACCACTGTTCTAGACAAGCTGCGGTGGCTGTGAGGGCCAAGGGCAAGCAACTGAGGTGGCCAGCAGCGGCAGCAGCGGCAGGGTGATGGGGGCGGCGCCTTCCCCTGATCACTCGATCACCTCCCAAGGAGGGAGGCCAGACTGTGGCTTAAGCCCGCTCCCCAGGGAGCAGGCCTAAGCTGTCAGTAGAACATCCCCTGAGGGCTTCCGGAGAGGGGGCAGGCCGGGCTAAGGGACACCCTGCCCCCAGTGCATGAATGCACTGGGCCTCTAGTAAATTCATAATTTGAAATAAAACTTGATGTAAGAGAAGAAATGCAGGAAATTCTCTAGAGAATACAAATTGGACATATTTTGTTATTATCATCTTTGTTCATTTGTTCCTGGGAGAAAGAAGGTACAGGAACCTTCTTTCTGTGTGTGTGTGTGTGTGATTTGTCTGCTACATTTTGTCCAGTGGGGTAATGACATGTTAACATATTACATGAAAACATGTAAAACAGCCTGAACCAATTTGTTAACCTGAAAATAATGAAGTTCAGGTTATGAGTTCAAGTCCACCAGATGCAACCTGAAGCAACTATATTTGTTTGAGAAAAAACTTAAATTTGTTTGAGGCCTAGCAACTTCACACTATTGGACCACTGACCACAGCAAGGACTGACCATCATCTTTACTTTCAAATATGTGATGAATGAAGATGCACTTTGCTATGTGCTGTGAGGACTGCAAAGACAGTTGGATTCCAATGCCTCATTCAGAGGTGATCACAATCTAATGGGAAAATGGGACATATACATAATAAAAATAAAGAATAGTAAGTACAATTAATATGTATACAGCACTTTCAGTTTATAAGATATTTATCATATATTAACTCATATTGAAAGAAAGCCTATTGAGCCCTAGCCAGCTTGGCTCAGTGGATAGTGCGTCGGTCTGCAGACCAAAGGGTCCCAGGTTTGATTCCAGTCAAGGGAACATGCCCGGGTTGTGGGCTCCATCCCCAGTAGGGTGTGTGCAGGAGGCATCCGATCAATGATTCTCTGTCATCATTGATGTTTCTATCTCTTTCTCCCCTTTCCCTTCCTCTCTGAAATCAAAAATATATATATTTTTTTTAAAAAAGAAAGCCTATCAAAAGAATTTGAATTACAGCATTATTTGTAATAGCTAAATTCTAGCAATATTCTAAAGGTCCCCCCAAAACAATGATTAAATAAATTATAATATGTGTATTCAATAAAATATTATCCAGTCCTTAAATGTGATGGTATGTACATATATCAACTGATACATAAAAATGTTTGCTATATTTGATAAATGAAAGGAGCAAATTACAATAGAATTTATATAGAAAGTTCCAATTTTTTTTGTGAAAACAAAATTACATATGTGTAAAAACATATACAAATCTCTCTCATACACACATACACATAAAGGGTGGAGGTCTGGAACTGACTCAAGAAAGAGACTGTTAAAGAGTTATGAATTTTAATAGGGGTGCCAGAACAACAGAAAGAGAGACGAGGGTTAGAAAACATATTGGAAGAAAAAATATAAGAAAACTTCCCTGAGGTGGGGAAGAAAAAAGTCACACAAGCACAGAGTCCAAAACAAGATGAACCCGAAAAGACCCACGCCAAGACACATCATAATTACCATGGCAAATGTTCAGGACAAAGAGAGAATCTTACAGGCTGCAAGAGAGAGACGGAAAGTTACATTCAAGGGATATCCCATTAGATTATAAAATGAATTCTCAACAGAAACACATCAGGCCAGAAAAGAATGGATGGAAATTTACAAAGTGATGCAAAGCAAAGGACTGAATCCAAGAATACTCTATCCAGCAAGGCTATCATTCAAAATTGAAGGGGAAATAAGAAGCTTCACAGACAAAAAAAGGTTACAGGAGTTTATCACTACCAAGCCAGCAATGCAAAAAATGCTAAAGGGACTGGGGTAAAAAGAAGAAATAAAAAGCTAAGAAAGAAAACAGGCACAAAAAATAGTAATGGCTACAAACAAGTACCTTTCAATAATAACTTTAAACATAAATGGACTAAATGCTCCAATCAAAAGACATCGAGTGGCTGAATGGTTAAAACAACATGACCCATATATTTGCTGTCTACAAGAGACCCACCTCATTAGAAGGGACGCACACAGACTGAAAGTGAAGGGATGGAAAAATATCTTTCAGGCAAATGGAAATGAAAAAAAAGCTGGGGTAGCAATACTTAGACAAAATAGAAATCAAAGTGAAGGCCATAACAAGAGATAAGGAAGGCCACTTCATATTACTAAAAGGATCGATACAACAAGAAGATATAACCCTGATAAACATATATGCACCCAATGCACCCAAATACCTAAAAAAACTCCTGGAAGATATCAAGGGAGAGATCGACAACAATACAATCATAGTAGGGGACTTTAATACACCACTGACATCACTGGATAAATCATCTAGACAAAAAATCAGCAAAGAAACAGCAATCCTAAATGACTCACTAGATCAGATGGACTTAATTGATATCTTCAGAACATTTCACCCCAAAGCCACGGAATAGACGTTCTTCTCAAGTGCACATGGGGCATTTTCAAAAATAGACCACATATTGGGTCACAAGCAAAGTCTCCCCAAATTCAAGAAGATTGAAATCATACCAAGCATCTTCTCAGATCACAATGGCATAATATTAGAAATAAACTACAATAAAAACAACCCAAAATACTCAAACACTTGGAAGCTGAAAAGCATGTTATTAAATAATGATTGGGTTACCAATGGATCAAAGAAGAAATTAAAAACATCCTGGAAACTAATGACAATGAAAACACAACAATCCAAAATCAATGGGACACAATGAAAGCAGTCCTGAGAGGGAAGTTTATAGCCCTACAGGCCTACCTCAAAAAACAAGAAAAAATGGTAGTAAACCATCTAACTCTACATCTCAAAGAATTAGAAAGAGAGCAACAAGAAAATCCCAGAGTGAGCAGAAGGAAGGAGAAAATAAAGATTAGAGCAGAAATAAATGACATAGAGACCAAAAAAAAAACAATACATAAAATCAATGAAACCAAGAGCTGGTTCTTTGAAAGGATAAACAAGATTGATGAACCTCTAGCCAGGCTCACCAAGAAGCAAAGAGAGAGGACCCAAATAAACAAAATCAGAAATGATAGAGGCGAAATAACAACAGACCCCACAGAAATACAAATGATTGTGAAAAAATACTATGGAAAACTCTACTCCAACAAACTAGACAACCTGGAGGAAATGGACAAATTCCTAGAAAAATACAACATTCCAAAACTCAATCAGGAAGAATCTAAAAATCTCAATAGGCCAATAACTATGGAAGAAATTGAAGCAGTCATCAAAAAGCTTCCAACAAACAAAAGCCCAGGGCCAGATGGCTTCACAGGGGAGTGTTAGCAAACATTCAAGGAAGAACTAAAACCTATCCTCCTCAGACTACTACAAAAAATTCAAGAAGAAGGAACACTTCCGAGCTGATTCTATGAAGCCAGCATCACCCTAATACCAAAACCAGGGAAAGACAACACAATGAAAGAGAATTACAGGCCAATATCCCTCATGAACATAGATGCCAAAATCCTCAACAAAATCTTAGCAAATCGGATCCAGCAGTACATCAGAAAGATCATACACCATGACCAAGTAGGATTTATCCCAGGGATGCAAGGATGGTACAATAGTCGCAAATCAATAAACGTGATACATCACAAAAACAAATTGAAAGAAAAAAAAACCACATGGTCATATCAATTGATGCTGAAAAAGCATTTGACAAAATCCAACACCCATTTCTGATAAAAAAAACTCTCAACAAGGTGGGAATAGAAGGATCATACCTCAACATAATAAAAGCCATATATGACAAACCCACAGCCAACATCATACTCAATGGACAAAAACTAAAACCATTTCCCCTAAGAACAGGAACAAGACAGGGATGTCCACTCTCACCACTCCTGTTCCACATAGTACTGGAAGTATTAGCCATTGCAATTAGACAAGAAGAAGAAATAAAAGGCATCCAAATTGGAAAAGAAGACGTAAAACTGTCCTTATTCGCAGATGACATGATATTATACATAAAAAACCCTAAAGATTCCATCAAAAAACTATTAGACTTAATAAATGAATTTTGGCAATGTAGCAGGATACAAAATTAATGCCAAGAAATCTATAGCATTTCTATACACCAATAGTGAACCTACAGAAAAGGAGACTAAAAAAGCAATCACATTTAACATCGCACCAAAAAAATTAAGATACCTAGGAATAAAGTTAACTAAAGAGGTAAAAGACCTCTACTCAGAAAACTACAGGACGTTGAAAAAAGAGATAGAGGAAGACATAAAGAGATGGAAGAACATACCACGTTCTTGGATTGGTAGAATCAACGTCATTAAAATGTCCATACTACCCAAAGCAATCTATAAATTCAATGCATTTCCCATTAAAATACCAATGGCATATTTCACAGATCTAGAATGAACTCAGCAAAAATTCATCTGGAATAAAAAAAAGACCCCAAATAGCTGCAGCAATCCTGAGAAGGTAGAACAAGGTAGGTGGGATCTCAATACCAGATATCAAGCTGTATTACAAAGCCACTGTTCTCAAAACTGCCTGGTACTGGCACAAGAACAGACATATAGATCAATGGAATAGAATAGAGAACCCAGAAATCTACCCTAACCAATATGCTCAATTAATATTTGACAAAGGAGGCAAGAACATACAATGGAGTCAAGACAGTCTCTTCAATAAATGGTGTTGGGAAAATTGGACAGATACATGCAAGAAAATGAAACTAGACCACCAACTTACACCATACACAAAAATAAACTCAAAATGGATAAAGGACTTAAATGTACGACAGGAAACCATAAAAATACTAGAGGAATCCAAAGGCAACAAAATCTCAGACATATGCCGAAGCAATTTCTTCACCAATACAGCTCCTAGGGCATTGGAAACTAAAGAGAAAATAAACGAATGGGACTACATCAAAATAAAAAGCTTCTGCACAGCAAAAGAAACCATCAACAAAACAACAAGAAAGCCCACTGCATGGGAGAACATATTTGCCAATGTTATCACTGATAAGGGTTTAATCTCCAACATTTATAGGGAACTCATACAACTTAACAAAAGGAAGATAAACAATCCAATAAAAAAATGGGCAAAGGACCTAAATAGACACTTTACAAAAGAGGACATTCAGAAAGCCAAGAGACATATGAAAACATGCTCAAAGTCACTAATCATCCGAGAGAAGCAAATCAAAACAACAATGAGGTACCATCTCACACCTGTCAGAATGGCTATCATCAACAAATCAACAAACGACAAGTGCTGGAGAGGATGCAGAGAAAAGAGAACACTCGTGCACTGCTGGTGGGAATGCAGACTGGTGCAGCCACTATGGAGTTTCCTCAAAAAGTTAAAAATGGAACTCCCATTTGACCCAGTGATCCCACTTCTAGGAATATATCCCAAGAAATCAGAAACACCAATCAGAAAGGATATATGCACCCCCATGTTCATAGCAGCACAATTCACCATAGCTAAGATCTGGAAAAAGCCTAAGTGCCCATCAGCAGATGAATGGATTAGAAAACTGTGGTACATCTACACGATGGAATACTATGCTGCTGTAAAAAAGAAGGAACTCTTACCATTTTCAACAGCATGGATGGAACTGGAGAGCATTATGCTAAGTGAAATA